CAGTGTGGCGTGAACAGGTGGTATGTGCTCAGGACGCCCGAGGGCGGGCATCAGACTTCCAGGGGCGGAGTGGAAGGCAGAACAGAGCAACAAGCTGGAGATGCTCACAGCTACATTTCCCAGGGTGGGCTCCTGCCAAGCTTCTGGGGGCTCCTCATAGTCCCTGTGTGCAGACTCTGCCCAGAGCTCTCTGCCCTGGGACCCTCTACCCTCTCTCCTTTCCCACAGAGCACCTACCATATATGCTCGGCAGATGGACCGTGATCCCTGGCCCGGCAGCATTTCCTCAGCCACGCAGCCAACTTGACCTGACCATGGTGAACCCAGCTGAACTGGAGGTTTCCGAGGCTCCCTGAGGGTTTTCCACCATGCAGATGCACGGTGTGGTAGCAGCCTTGGCTACCTTTCCTCTCTCCAGGCTTGGGGCTGGGTGGGGGCACAGCCGTCAGGAAGGACACTGAAGCTCCCCGTAGCAGCCATCACTCCCGCTCAGCCATTGTGTTTCTTCTCCCTGTCACGGTCAAATGTATGCAGAAGACAACTGATTAATAATTAGGGAGTCACAAAAATAAATTCATAGCACGCGGTTGCTCACACCAGAGGCGGTTGGTCTATTATACTGCAGTTGGTTATTGTGATCACGGGTCTTATTTAAATTTTGATTTCATTTTCCCTGTAGTTTTATTTTTAATTGTCTCAGTTCTTGATTATAGATATTATTTTCTGTATTTTTTTTAAAGGAAAGGAGATGTTTTACTGTGAAAAATGATTCCAAACTTGAACAAAGTGGCATACTTATGTCTGAGAGCTGTTTCTTCCTCCCTCAGAAGTCGCGGGGGGGGGGGTGGATCTTTATTTTTGATATTATTGTTGCTTGGGATCAGTCACAGGTGACATTGAAAATGGTGGCTTTTCGGGGGTCAGTGGGACTTACGATACCTGCCGAGTGATTGCCTCTGAGCTAAGGACACCGAGAAGTCGGGGGAGAGACATGGGGATGAGGATGTGTCCTGGAGATGTCTTCTGTCCTCACAAACTTTCCTGTCCGTGTCCTCGACCACTGCAGCCTCCCTTCTGTCCAGACACCGTGGTTCCCCCAGGCTGTCTCAGAGCTCTTTTACAGGGACTGTTTCCTGTTGTGGAATATCACTTTAACTATGTAAAGACGTGTTACATGTGTTCATGCTGCGTTTGTTGAATTATGCAAGGACATGTTGCTGTTTCACCTTGCCTGCCTAAGGCACCTGATTGGTCTAATACAGAGCCGAATAGTCAATAGCGAGGCATTAGAGGGACAGGCGGGGATGGCGGGCACAGCAAATAAGGAGGGGGAAGACTCTAGGTTCAAGAGGAGAATGAGGGAGAAAAAGGACACACCAGGGACCAGCCAGGCACAGAGGAAGCAGGGGACGGAAGATGAAGAGCCTCCAGGCAAAACGTAGATGGGAAACAGGTTAAATTAGTTTTAAAAGCTAGCCAGAAACAAGCCTAAACTAAGGCCAAGCATTCATAACCAGTAAGTCTCTGCGCCCTAATTTGGGGACTGGCAGTTCGAGAAAGCTCGCTACAGTTTCCACTTTCCATGGACTCTCTACTCTGTACTCTGTTGCCAAGAAAATGTTGTAAAGAGAGGATGTGTTCTTATGTGTGCCATCTGTTGCTTCTTATAATGTCTGCTTTGCTTGGGAAAAAAATGACATGGTCTTCCAACTGTCACACCTTGAGCTCCTGCTTGGGTCACGCAAGGAGGCAAGTTTCAGTGTCTTCTACCCCAGGGCCTTTGCATAGGATGCCCTTTCTTTTTCTACCCTTCCTCTTCTCGCCTGGTCTGAAAAGCTATGCTGTGTGTCCTTCCACCTCCAAATGGACGGGGTGGCAGGGGTGGGTGGGGGTGGGGTGGGTGCCGTTTCTTCCTCAGAAGTTGGTGTGTGGTTTGGAATCGTATGTTGATAACTGCCCGCAGTCTGTGGTTCTCCGGACAGAGAACACAGTACCGAAGCTGAGAGATCATTTCCTGTCACATCTGTGATCCTCTGCTCCTACTGTAACAACTAGTGACGACTCCGCTGTGTTTTCCACTGCAATATTCTATAAGCATTAAAGGTTATTAAAATAACATTTTAAATAATGTTCATAAAAATTTAGATTGTATAACCAGGCTTACCTAGATGAAGTAACTGAGCAAAGGATGAGGAATGTCTCGCTTAACATACCAAGTACTGTTCTTTCCGCTGGAAAACTTAGTAAAGAGATTTGTTATTTTGCACTGAAATAGCTCTCAAAGAAGTTTGGTTCCCAGAATTGGTTGATCCTGCAGCTTAACAGGATGATGAGAGAACATACGTTTCCTAGGTCTTAGCGATTTCATGCTTAGCATGACGTCTGGGTCCCTCATGGCTCCAAGGTAGCTTTAGGGCTGTAACATCACACTTGGCAGCATCCAGAGGCGGAAGAGCCCCCTCCTCTGCATTCCCTCAGTTTCGTTCTCTCCAGGAACGAAACCGTTTCTCTTCCACGTGTCTCTACTCCAGTTGGACCCATCGCCGCTCTCTCTGCTTCCCTACACTCGTTAGGCATGCATCTCCTCATGCCACTCACTTATGCTTTTCCTTACTGACTGGGCCACCCCGGTCCCCTTTTCCTGGTTAGTCTCTTTGCCTCTGTGGCTTTTCTTCTCTTAGTGTGTTGTCTCATTAATTTCCTTCCTTATGCAATTCCCACAACCAACTGACTCAGCATCGCTTCCTACAGCTACCAGGGACTTCGCAGGGAAACCTGGGCAATGACTGGCTGCCAGGGGTTGGTGGGGATGGGGAAGTCTCGGATTCTTGGTCACAACAGCAACCCTGACTCCGGAGCTGGGGACACAGTCACGTGGAGGTGTGGTCAACCAGTTGTCCAACCTGCCTTCCACTAATTTTCATGGGGCTTTATCTGTTTGCTTCTGAGGCATCTCCCTCCAGCCCGCCACACTCATTGTGTCTTAAGGGGAAGGAGGCTGCGTTAGAGGCTAGCCTCCTCTCCTCTTCCTGATGCATGGCACTCACTCTAGATGTTTTCTGACAGACTCCAGAGCAGGTGTGCTGTGCAGAGAGAGAGAGACTGGAAACACTGACGTTTTCAGCGAAGTTCCCTGCATTGGTTTTCCCGTGCAGGACAGCTCTGCTCTTCAGTGGGTTCCAGCTAATGTACTCTTTCAGGTGATGTGGTCTGGTCTTCAGGAAAGGGCAAAAGCCGCAGGAAGTCACCCTGGCTCTAGATGGACAGAGCTCATGTGGGGGCGTGTCAGCTAGCTGTGGCAGAGCTTGCATGGCCTCCCACCCTAACTTTGGAATGTAGCTTGTGTTGCCTGCTTTCCAACTTCATGTCCAGTGTGTTGGAGGGTTTCTGGCTCTCCAGGTTTTCTTATTAAATTGCTAGCGTTCTCAGAAGTGGTGAGTTCTTGAACCCAGTGGCCTGGAGGCATTTTGGCATGGCTCAGGGGCTCCCCAAGTGTAGAAAGAGGCCCAAGATCAGTTCCTGGGGCGAGAGTAGCAATGGTATGGGGGACCCAGAACTAATGTGTCCTGAGGTCTCCAAGGTCTCCAAGGCCAGTCCTCCACGGTAGTTCATGACTAGGCAATGGCTCCCCTAGACTCTTCTTAAGGAAGGACCGGGTCCTGCCCTCAGGCAATGTAATGTGACAAACACTCCAAGTACCTGGGGATGGCAGCCAAGAAGGCTTGCTTAGAGGACCAGATCTTGGTCCTGCTCTCCTGGTTTTATCCTCAGAAGGCCCCTCAGGCATCACAAAGAGCTAACTCTGGTCAAATCTGTACCAGTGTACATTGGCTCTGCTGGAGCTGCAAACCCTTGTGCTGCAGGGTTCTTTCTGTCTGTGGAGTCCCACACAGGTTGGACAGCACCCCCCCCCCCAATCCTTTCTAAATAGGACTGACTCCTGACTCTGGATCCAGGTAATTCCCTTCCGCAGTGTCTTTCACAAAGTGAACATGGTAGACTGCCTGGCAAGTTGGATCTTCTGATCCCTGTGTCCCTTCTGACTACAGCCAGTGGTCTCTGGGTGGGGAGAGTGTTGAGTAATTGCCTAGTGGGCCTCGCTCACGTAGTGCGTGGAAGTGAGGCCAAGAGGAAAGCCTAGGCCCTCCCTCCCCAGAGGCCTGCAGCTCTGCACTTCCCCAGGCCTCTCCCACTCTCCACAGGGCGCAGGGCTTGATTTTAAGCTCAGCCTTTCTTCTTGGGTGTCTGGGAAGACCATGTGGACTCAGGGTAAATTGGGCTCTGATTGCTTCCTCAGATTGGGACTCAGGATGTCCCTGCTGCTGGCCCTGATAAGTCATCCGTGTGGATCATTGTCTATAAACGGAGCCGGAGGTCACAGCGGAAGCGAGCCTTTGTTCCCAGCTGCTGGCCCCGACCACGTGAGGCGTCCTCACTGCGAGCAGGAGGAAGGCAACTGACATTGAGATGCGCGCAGGCGGGGTCTTCTTCCAGTGGCTCCCAGAGAAGGGGCTGCAGGGACCAGCTGGGAAGCGACCCGACCTACTGTCGTTGACCCGCAGGCGCTTTTCTAGCACGTTTGGTCTTTGGCCACTGAAGTTTTGCTCTGCGAAGAAAAGCGTGATGCCAAACTGTGGGGTCCAAGTAGACAGGAGTGTTGGGGGGGGGGGGGAGGACACAGGACACGACAGCTGCAGCTGATGGGGCCGGGAGACAGGACCAGAGCCGCGCGTCCGATTAGCATACAACGGGCGTGGGCGCTGATTGGCGGGCGCGGCAGTGGGCGGAGAGGTAGGCGGGGTGACACTGCTGGAGTAGTAGGAGAGGGAGGAGTGGGCAGCGGGCGCTGATTGGAGGCGGGGACGGGGACGACGCCCCTGGGCAGGGCGGCTTGCGCTGATTGGAGGCGATGGTGGTGGGCGGGGCGAGGGTGGGGTTGTCCACATTGGGTTAAGGGGCTGATGGAGAAAGAGCGCCTGCTGCGCGCCCTGATTGGTGGGTAGGCGTGTAGGCGTGGCGCGGCCGCGCTCTCTGTTTGGTCGGAGCGGCGCTGGGCGTAGTGTATGGGCGGGGACGAGAACCAGGAGCTGGTACTCCTGGCCCGAGGCGAAGGCGCCGCGGGAGTGATCCTGGGGCCCGGCCCGGTGGCCCGCGCGGCCTGCCCTTTGTGCTTGCAGCCCGCATCCTCGCCCAGGGCCACCGCGTCGGGCTCCCCCGGCGCGCGTGCCCGCCCGCGCGCTGCCCAGCCTGGGATGCGCCAGGGATGCGCGCCCGCCGGCCCTGCGGCTCCTGGCAGCTGGGCGCGGGGCGATGGAGCTAAGCATGAAGAAGTTCACGGTGCGCAGGTTCTTCTCCGTGTACCTGCGCAAGAAGTCGCGCTCCAAGAGCTCCAGTCTGAGTCGCCTCGAGGTAAAGGCCCTCCCCGGGAACGCGCAGGATTTGGGTCCCCGCTGTACCTCGAGTGAGCATGTGGAGCTCGGAGGGCGTTTGGCCACCGGAGCCCTTCTCACAGTCCCGTGCATCATCCACCCCAGATCCAAGCGTGGCGTGGGAAGTTATTTGAAAACTGGTCTAGTTGTCATTAAAGCCTATCAAATCGGCTCCAAGTGTTGTTGGCACTCCATAACAACTGCACAGATCGAGTCCTTGCTGGGACTGAAGTCTACCCCAGTGAATTTCTCTCTAGTGCTCCTATGTTTACGGGATTCGGGGTCACTCCCCAGAGGCTTTGGAGGAGAAGGGGTGCGGCCGTGCAGCTGGGTTGCCGAGTGGTGTGGGGGTTCTTTGGGAGACTCCACGCCGACTCTCAAGTTCTGTAGCCTCCTCTCCAGCCTGTGCTGTCTTGGGTCTGGTACTGTGTGGATGGTCTGGGTATTTGAGATGGCTGTAGAGTTGACCAAAGCAAGTAAGGAAGGTTTCTGGAGTGCCTGACGCAATTCCCTGCAGCCTCGGCGGCTTTGCAACAGATTGGCTCTGAAACACGAAGGACGCCGGAAAAATCTTGACCTTTGCAGGTCCCTCATCTTTTCTTCTGTGGGTGTCCGTAGCCAGTCGTCTGTGGTTTTAAACTATGGTTTTCATTTCAACAACTAACTAAGCTCTATCCTCATCCTGGTGTTCAGACCACATTGTTGAGCCAGTAGATGACAGAGCCGTGACCTGCTTAAGTGAAGGGTGTGAAGAGAGGGAGGCTGGCAACTGGCCTAGAGATGTCATGGATCACTGATGCCCCTGCTTAAAGGCTGGCCCACAGAACTCGTGTGTGTGTGTGTGTGTGTGTGTGTGTGTGTGTGTGTGTGTGTGTGTGGTTGTTCCATTAGGAACAGTGTCACCCATTTTTACTTTGGGTTTCTTTGTCTCGGCCTTAGTATGTTACCCACAGGCAAAGGGCTCTGTGATGATCCAGAGATCTTTCAGGAAAGCCCAGGGATAGTATTGAAAGCGTCAGGGAATTTGCTTGTTGAAAAAGTTTCTTTTGCTAAATTCCAGCTCAGAATTGAAGGGACTAAATTGTCTCTCAGAGAACAAAACATTGATTTTGGACAAATATAGTTATTGATCTGATAATGGGGAGGGGTATTTAAACTTAAAGATGACAGAAACTGAGCGCAAGTGCATTTTTTTTTTTCTAGGACTCTGTAAAATCTAGCCAACAAGAGCAGACGTTGCAGAAGCATTTACCTTCCTATCAGATAATGTTTTTAATCTATTATCTATTATCGTGCTGTTTCTCATCTCTGGGTTATTGCTTTTGCCTCTGTGTCCCCGTGAGCAAACTGTGTGCCATTTACAGAGCACCTGGAAGGCCCCGAGTGTTCTAGAAGCCTGTGTGCGGATTCAGCAAGTAGAACTGAACTGGGCTATGGAGAACCCTCCAAAATACAATCGCATACATTGTGCATGTTGGGGGCAATAACAAAAAAGGGTTTTTTTTTTCCAGTATGAAAATAACATTTCCAAGACCCCTACACAAACCTGTGCCTTCTGATTTCATCCCAGAGCACTGTGTTACACATGCACACACACACACACACACACGCACGCACGCACGCACACGCACACACGCACGCATGCGCGCACACACTAAAATTTTAAGAGTTTTGAAAGGCCAGGAAAGCAGTGTATTCCATTAGTCAGTTGAATGTGGTCTGTTGTTGCGCCTGATGCCATGCTGGATGCTCACGAGCAGGACAGTGGAGATGCACCAGTTGAGTTTTACAAGTGCTCCCCTCAGGTTTCTGACATCTGATGTTTGTGAAAATCCACGTGGCATGTTCTGCTGCACAGCAGGAAGACCCTGAGAAGGAAAGGGGCCTGGTCAAAGCTTACCTCTTCTTCTGTAGATGTCTTAAGGACCCGTGGTGAGTTCAGGCTATTTCTGGACAGTGCAGATCCCAAAAATGTCAAACGAAGATGTCTTGGCCTCGGGGCCCTTCGTTTACCTGGGGACATGTTATGAAGCATTATCTTTGTTAAAAACAAAAATGACTCTGGTTTAAAATTAATTTTACTTTTAGAACACAATGTTTGATAAACTTGGGACCAAGTTACCTAATTGTATGCAGAAACATGCTGTGCATTTCTGCTTAGAAATAAAGTTCATATAAATACGTTTGTCTTGTATCGGCATTGACCTAAGTCATCTGGCCATGTGGGCCATTCCTGCAGACATGTTCCAGAGACTCTTAAAGGGAAGTTGAGAGCCTCTCATAACCTTCGTGGGCACAGGTGTCAGGCTTCAGAGCTTCCCAGCGACCCTGTCCCCAAGAAAGCTGTAACTATGGGACCCTAGTGGCATGCCCTGAGGGATATAGTGGTGACTTGCTACTATTGTGTAGTCCTGTTACAGGTGAAAAAAAAAATGGAGAACAAGGAAGCCCTCTGTGATGATTCAAAGAACATGCCCCATGTGGGAGCAGGGGCCTGCTGTTACCACGCTTTAGCCATTGCCGGCTGTGTGGCCCTTAGTGTTTGCTATTTTTCAGGCACACAGGAAGCAGTTGTCATTGCTAAAAGGTAATCACCCAATGAAATAGTTTGGAATGTGCTTCATAGCCTAATTTTTTTTTTTCTTGCAAACCTCTTCTGGAAGTTAGACAGTTCTAAGTGGGTCTGACTGTGTGCACCCAGTTAGATTCACAATCTCCCTTTGACTAGAAAGACCATTAACTTTCATAAACCTCTCTCTCAGCTACAAGACGGAATGATAGGTAATGTCGGGGTTAGTGAGTGACTGTCTGGGAAGACAATTTAGAATCTTGGCGGTCAAATTGCTCAGTCACTGTTAGCTGTTGATATTGATAAGATTTACCTGGGTTTATTGATGGTTTTTATATTACCCAGTGTCCATTGGCTGCATGGCTAGTGTTGTCCCAGTGGAAGGTCAGCTGCCCACAGGATAGGATGGCCGCATTTGCTCAGATGGAGTTTCCATCTTCTGGCTGGGATAGCGTAAGCCCTCTTATCATGCATGCCTGCCCATGAGTCAGCTGCACTTATCCTCAGATCCATTACCCATGTGGGTTGCTTTGCCCTGAGCTAGGACGGCTTTAGAGCACAAAAATGTTCCAGTGTCTGTTTCCAAGTGAGAGAGCTAAGCAGGAAGGCATCAGAAACCCCAGCAGAGACCCTGACTGATAGTGTGATTACAGGCGTATACTCCTTATTCTCTCCAGAGGCAGTGAAGGTTTTAATTAATTTAAATGATGTTATTTACTGAATGTAGGATTTCATCTAATCGACTGAAGGTATCGATATGCCGAGTTAGCTTACCTACAGAATGGCCTGTTGCTTGGTGTTGACAAGGTTATGGGAAATCTCTCTCTGGTCTGTCATTTAGGCCATTTCATCCAAAACTGACATTTCTACCAAAAGATAGTCGGTGAGAAATAAGGAGCCAAAGATGGAGTTTGGGTGGTGATAAACTGCTGAGTGGCTGGATTTCATTTATTTACTTCCCTATTGTTCATTCCTGAGAGAGAAAAAAAAAAAATCTTTGTATGTGTCACATATACTGAGCTAAGCAATTAGCATACAAAACTATGATCTCTGCCTCAGATCAACTTATTATCTAGTGACAGTAGCCAAGAAAGCAATAGAAGGCTGCTTTGGGGGCGTGATTCATGTAAAATTCCTGAGTCAGTGGATTTAAGTGATCTACTTAGATGAGTTGCTAGTTCATTTGTTTGCCCTGGTCATAGATAATCAAAGGTAGTCTGTGTTCCCACATGACTATGTTTTATTTACCCAACTCTTTTAAGGAAAAAAAATGTTGTCACAATCACATACATAAAGAAAGGGATTGTCCAGCTGTGGGTGCAAAGAACTGTTCTTATTCTTAGTGATCAATAGGTAGATACTTCCATTTTATAGATTCCAGGAAAATGATGTCCAATTAAAATCAAGTACCCGAGAAAATCTGTTAGTCCTTGTTGTATGAGTCATTGGATAACCAGGGAAGAAAGAGAGGAAAGGAGAGAGAGAGGGGGGGGAGGGAGGGAGGAAGGAAGGAAAAAGACCACAAGTAAAAATGGTCTATGCTAGTGAAGGTCGTTTGCCTATTGACCCTTTATTGTATTTCCTAGACACTATAGCTAATTCCTTATTTGTGGTCACTGTGTCTGGGATATGTCTTATCTTTGTAGTATCCCCCCCCCCCCGCCCAACACACACACACCAACACATATACTTTTTTCTTTCCATCAAAGAAATGTATCAAAGTATTTTTTGCTTATTCAAAAATACATGCAACCAAAACTCTTGAGATTTTGCCCATTTTCCTTCCTCTGCCTCCATCACCATCCTCCCAACAGGGTCATAGGCTGACTGGCTTCCACCACACGCTCAGTTCAGCCATAGGCTCTGTTTTCATGCATTCCGAAACAGAAGAGTGGAACAAAGAGGTATTAAGGAAAGGATGGGACATCTGTCCCCCTGTCTGGCTTCCGTAGCTCAGTGTGGTGGATGGAGGCCAGTTCCTCAGATCATGTGGTGTATATTTGGTTGGAAAGGAAAGGAGCCTTCCGAGGGAGTTTCCAGAGCCTGCTCTGCAGGGAGGATGTGGAAGGCTGTGGATCCAGCTTGTAGGCAAATGGGGAGGTGCAGGCGACTTGTGTTTGGATGCTGCCAGCAGAGAGTGTGTACCCCTCGGAGGTGAGGGAATCTGAAGATTGGTTTGTTCACGTGAGGTTCACGGGGTTGGCATCTAGGAGTTTAGCCAGGATTGTATTTTTTCCTCCAAGACACTGTGCTGTTGAATAAGTAAAGCAGAGCTATTGTAAGATTCGAGGAATTCTCCTCAGTGACCAGTGCCTACTTACATTTATGGGTCTGTGTTTTGTTGCATTCTTTCTTGCCATCCTGTTTGCTGATAAGTTGTCGCTTATTAAAGCTGTTGAACTGAACACAAG